TTGTTCCGAAAATTGAACATCCTTAGAACGATAATGGAACGATAGTCTGGAGAAAGTCGGGATTATAGTTGCCGTCCAAACTATTTGGGACGGCCCAAATCATGTGATGATTAGCATCACAAATAGTTAAGACCAGGTTAAAACCATATGTGATGCTAATTATCACATGGTTTGGGCCGTCCCAAATATTTTGGACGGCAACTGTAGTCGGGATACGTTGTTCGAAAATCTTTTATAGGATCTAGTGTTAGATTTGATAGTAAAATATTGATTGTCTTCATTAATGGATATATTTTAAACGTAAATTATTTAGGCCTGAAATCAGAAAATTTGTTACGGTTAATAGTTTGGTATTGTATAAATACATGTGACTTACATTATGATTAGTTTTACCTTCGTGAGATTCACTTATTGTGATAATGCCATCGAGTTTTTTCTTTAAATGTAAACATTCTCAAATTAATAATTTATCTCTCCTTTGCATTACTTGCTGTTATCTATGTTTTTCACAGTACGACGAATGATCGTCCCTATCGTTAAAGTCCGTGATAATATCATTCCAATTCCAATACCCTCCTTATTCTCTGAAATGGTTAACCCTCTAAAATCCCATCGCTCGATACATCCATCTGCAATAACGGTTTTAATTAAGAACTTGCATTATCTACAAGATTTAGTCCAACATAATCACTTGCCTGATGCAACCCGTCCAGAAGTCATAAAAGCTGTAACTGAACTTAAAAAACGTGTATCTGAAACCAGAGAAAAGCCCGTACAACTTATTCAAAATTATAGTATCTCTAATAATATTCAACCATTTATGCCGTCACTTAATGCTCTTCGTCAAATAGTTTCTCATTCTAAAAAAATAGAGAAAATACCACAAACACAAAATGTTCTAGAAATTAATATCCCACCTTTATTGCGTGTTACTTTAAACGGTGATCTTTTTCTAATCCAAGACCTCATAGTTGACCAAAGTAGAATTCTTATATTTTCTACAAATGAAAACATCAATCGTTTATCCGAAGCCCCCTATTGGATTATGGATGGTACGTTTAAAACAGTTCCAGATATTTTTTATCAACTTTACACTATCCATGCGCCAGTCGGTCCTGAAGAAAACTCCAGAATTTTGCTATTAGTATATGCTCTCTTGACAAACAAATCTGAAGAAATATATAGGTACGTACGTACGTATTTATATATATATATGTCAGTATCCTCCAAAAGTTTATCAATGTTACACAAAAACTTAAAATATGTAAATTTAGCAATATATTAAATTAAGTTTTTTTTTTGTGTAACCGTGATAAACTTTTGGAGGATACTGTAACAGGTAACGTACATACGTACGTACGTACATAATTTTTTTTATCAGGTGATCTTAACTAAACCAAAATAATTTAAAAAAATATTACCACTAAATATAGGCATCTATTCAATGAATTATCTGAATTTGCCAGTCAAATAAACATCCATTTAGCTCCAAAATGGATAATTACTGATTTTGAAAGAGCAGCCATTAATGCATCACGTTGCGAGTTTCCTCATGCGGTAAATAAAGGATGCTTTTTTCACTTATGCCAAAGCGGATTGCGTAAGATTCAGGAACATAGTTTAACCACTTTATATGGAAGGGATCTATGTTTCAGCCGCATGATTCTGCATTTATTTGCCTTGGCATTCTTACCGTCAGACCAAATTCCTGATGCTTTTGATATTTTAAAGGTGAGTATGCCTTCTGAAGCAAAGAATGTGACTGAATAGTTTGAAAAAAATTACATTGGAAGACGACGTCAGCAGTAAAATGAAGCCACAATCTCCCGTGACCTACCCTTATTTAAACCACAGTTTTGGTCTGTTTACGAATCAGTAGAGCTGGGCATTCCACGGACGCAAAACTCCGTGGAAGGCTGGCATAATAGGTGAAATATATTAGTTGGAAGTTCACATGTAAGTTTACATACGTTGATAAATGAGTTGCAAAAAGAGCAAAAAAATGTTGATGTTCAGGTTGAGCGCATTTTTATGGGAGAACAAAGACCCAAGCCTACTAAATCTTATATTGAAAAAGAGAGAAGGATCCTGGCGATTTTTAATGATCGTGAAAATCGGTCATTGATGGATTATTTACATAATCTTTCTTCATATCTTTCTTTGTAATGCTAAATTTTATTTATTTTTTTTTTATTTCTTTATTTCTTTATGTTTTTTCTTTTTAATAGGGTATTATTATTATTATTATTATTATTCATTTATTTATTTATTTATTTTTATTTTATAATAAATTTGATTCTTCTATCATATA